TATATATATATCTCTATATATATATATATATATCATAAGCATGAAAATTAAGGGTGTAAATGAGTTGAGTACAAGCAAGCTTAAACTCTGCTCATGTTTGGCTCGTTAAAAAATACAACTGTTCATGTTTAGTCCTTTTATATTTTTAAAAAAATGTGTTCGTATTTAGCTCATTTGCTTAGCGAACCAGACACGAGTTGTTTGCGAACAAAGAGTTATATATATATATATATATGCGCTGCGTACTCAGATCAGTTTGTCGTGCATATACTTGTCACTTGTAAGTCTTTTCTAGTCTGGGGTTCGATTCCCCACGAGTGTAGAGTGTGATACTCGAATTCTTAGGTGCATGAGGGATGGTCGAGGCTCGTATAATAGCCTTCGGTCGTTCCTTTTTAATATATATATAATGAATAATATTTTGAGTCAAAAAAAGCCAAACAAGAATGAACAAACTTTTATTTATGTTCGGCTCGTTTATATATCGAGCGCAAAAAAACCGTTCGTATTCGACTCGTTAACGTAGCGAACAAATCGAACACGAACTTCATAACGAGCCGAACCCGTACAATTCGCAAACAACAAGCTGTTTTGACAGCCCTATTGAAGATGTGTATTTTATTTTCTTAAAAGTTAAAATAATGATATTTATTACATGATATGAGATTTTTGGATGGTGTAAAAATCAAAGCATACATGTTTGATATATAAATACAAATGAATTTGGTGGTATGTATCAAGGTTATGTAAATGCCCCTCTTTTACATACCTCAGCAAATGTCTTAGTTTTAAATCAAGCAGATTCATTCAGCAAGCGCTCATTCCATGTTTTTGCAATTATAATCTTCTCGTGTGGTATATAGCAAATGTTTCCTCCCTCCTCTCTCCTGCCAGCAAAGATCTCTTCAGATCTTCTCCCCCACCTATTCTTTCTCTATTAAACCTTCCATTTCAAGCAAGCTGGAGAGAGAGAGATAGAGAGAGAGAGAGAGAGAGAGAGAGAGAGAGAGAGATGCCTCAGAGAGGCTATGTTCTCATCTTCTTCTTCTGGGCTCTGCTTGCAATCATCACTCCAACACTGGTTTTATGGTCAGCATCTGCAAAACCCAGCTTTGTTCCAAAAGGTTTTATACAATTCCTCATCA